TTTTTTTTTTTTTGAGACAGGGTCTTGCTGTTTCCCAGGATAGAGTACAGTGGTGCCATCTCAGCTCACTGTAACCTCTGCCTCCTGGGCTCAAGCAATCCTCTTACCTCAACCTTCCAAGTAGCTGGGACTATAGGTGCCCACTACCACAACTGGCTCATTTTTGTGTTTTTAGTAGAGACAGGGTTTTGCCATGTTGCTCAGGCTGGTCTCAAACTCCTGAGCTCAAGTGATATGCTCACTTTGGCCTCCCAAAGTGCTGAGATTACAGGCAAGAGTCACTGCGCCTGGCACCCCCCTGAGATTTTCTTTTCTTTTTTTAAATTTTTATTTCTTGTCCCCTTGAGGATTTCTGATGAGACCTTGAGGGAACAGGAGATCATCCCAGTGACCAGAGAATCAACTGGAGGGCAGAGGTGTTTTACTTATGGCTCTGACCTGCTCTGGCTCCCACCAGCCATTGCAGGACTGGCTTCTAGAGCCTTCGGTGCAGAGGAGAGAGCTCTAGGGATGGGACAGAGCCAAGGTCTTAGCTTTGGTCTCTTCTCATCACTCATGCGTTAAATATAAGCTCTGATGTCATCAAGGCAACAGAGATAAAATGCCTTTCTCAAGCTAAGCAGACAGGATCTGGTATCCAATTTGGACAAGATAGTGGAAAACAGACTCAGGGGGAAAAAATCTCTTGGCCTCAGCACAAGCACACGGGAGTTGAATCTGACACCTTAACGTTGTACAATAAACAAATGTAGGCATGGTTTCCTATGTTTTCTTCAAAACTTCTAGAATAGAAGTGATTAGAGGGAAGGATTTTAACAATGAGTTCTTCTCTTCTCAGCTGAAAAATTCTGGATTATCCTCCAAGATGTGACTCAAGCATCAACTTCTATGGAAATACTTGCCCAGCTTCCCCAAGCAACAAGGCCATCCCTCTTGTGTGTATGTTTAATAAATGATTTGCTTGCCTATTGGACTGTGTGTCTCGCCTGAGCACAAGCTCAGTGGACTGTGTAGTATGCAACGTCCCCTCCTTTCCCAGCGCCCCTCTCTAACACCTCTCACTCACATGCATTCCTATGCCTGCCATGGGGTAATTGCTAATTAAATGTTGATTGCTGAAATAGAGAGCTAGAGAGGTTCAGGAATGGTCTTCTTAGAATTCCCAGAGCTGGGATTCAAACCCCTTTGTGAATCTCTGATGCTTGAGAGAATCTGATGAAAGCTAAGAGCCTTTCCCCAGGAAAAAAAAAAAGCACATGCAAAAGAAAATTCCCAACTGCACAGCACTAAATACCCATACTAACATCTACACAATTATGTACATGTAAAACTGGGGAAATCTGAATAAGATAGGGGAATTGAATCAATATCAATTTCCAAGTTGTGATTATGTTACTATAATACTGCAAGAGGTTACCACTGAGAAACTGGGATCTCTCTGTATTATTTCTTATAAATGCATGTGAATCTAAAATTATCTCAATAAGGCTGGGTGTGGTGGCTCACACCTGTAATCCCAGCACTTTGGGAGGCTGAGGCGGGTGGATCACCTGAGGTCAGAAGTTTGAGACCAGCCTGGCCAACATAGTGAAATCCCATCTCTACAAAAAATACAAAAACTAGCTGGATGTGGTGGCACACTCCTGTAATCCCAGCTACTTGGGAGGCTGAGGCACAAGAATCGCTTGAACCCGGGAGGCAGAGGTTGTAATGAGCCGAGATTGTGCCACTGCATTCCAGCCTGGGTGACAGAGCAAGACTCAGACTCAACAAACAAACAAACAAAAATGGAAGAATATATGGAAAACAGAAGAGTATTTGACTTGTAGTAAGTGCTTAATAAATGCTGGTTCTTATTATTGTTACTCCTTGATAGAGGCTCATTTCCTCTTGCCTGTTCTTGCAAAGACGGAGACATCTGATTAGCAATCCTACCTCTAAGAACAAACCATCAACTTGTAGACACTAAATCACCCATCAGTTTCTCTCCTCTCTATGTACTATCTGTTCCTTCTTTTGTTTGGGGACCCAACTCCATTACCATATCCCAGAATCACGATTTAAATATGAGCATAGAAGTACCTGCTACTGGAGGGGTCTTCCTGCTTGGTGTTCCCTCTATTGGTCAGAGAACAAACGCTCCTATGAGGGGAGAGTTTCTTTTTCTTCCATTAGACAGGAGAGCAGTATGGACCTATGTTTCTATCTTTGCAAATGAATTTCATAGCACCGTTTAGATACTTCTGTGCTTGCAAATTCATCTGCTTTGGTGAATCTAATTTTTAAATTTTGTCAGGAGTCAAGGTAGAACACTGGTAAACTGCTTAATCTGGAAAATAAAGAACAAAATATAAACAGATTTCCTCTCTGGCTCCCTCCAAAGCATCTCTGTCCTCCACAGTGTTTCTGTAAGTCTCTAGGGAACATGTCATATGGGCTCACCAACAAGTCTTCCTCCATTTACACCCTTCTGCCCTCACAGATATCAGGTCTCTGTGCCGTTCCACCAGTTTCTGAGAGTCTCCTGCTAATCTACTAAGCACTCTTGATCAATAGGGGCCTAGAGTCACCAGAGAAGATTTTTCAGAGTCTTTTCTGAAAAGTGGGGCCTGAATTGACCTTAAATGACAGGTAAGGTTCATATAGATACCAGGGGGCAACCCAGGGATCCAAGGCAGGGTGAGCAAAGGGGGAAAGAACTAATGGAATTGGATGAGTACAGAATTGGTTTGGGGAGTGGGCCAGCTAAACTAAGGAGAGCTTATAGTGAGAGAGAAGGCAGGAGAAAAGGCCATGTGAGAAGGCCATAGGAGAGCTCAGACTGCTTTCCATAAGAAAGTGAGGGCCCATGAGTAACATTGCAGGGAATAGTGTAATACTTAGCAGAACTATTGGCTACATGTTCTTAGGCCTGTGATTCTCCCAAGAGATGCCTTGTCACGTTTATTCACATATCCTGGACAACATTTTCCTTTTTTTTTTTTTTCCAGATGGAGTCTTGCTCTGTTGCCCAGGCTGGAGTGCACTGGCACGATTTCGGCTCACTGCAACCTCCGCCTCCCAGGTTCAAGCAATTCTTGTGCCTCAGCCTCCTGAATAGCTGGGATTACAGGTGTGTACCACCACACCTACCTAATTGTTGTATTTTTAGTGGAGACAGTGTTTCACTATGTTGATCAGGCTGATCTTGAACTCCTAACCTCGTGATCTGCCTGTCTTGGCCTCCCAAAGTACTGGGATTACAGGTGTGAGCCACAGCGCCCAGATTTTTTTTTTTTTTTTTTCCAGTTGGAGTCTCACTCTGTAGCCCAGGCTGGAGTGCAATGGCACTGTCTTGACTCACTGCAACCTCTCCCTCCTGGGTTCATACAATTCTTCTGCCTTAGCCTCCTGAGTAACTGGGATTGCAGGCACTCGCCATGACACCTAGCTAATTTTTGTGTTTTTAGTAGAAATGGGATTTCACCATATTGGCCAGGTTGGTCTATTGGTCAGGCTGGTCTTGAACTCCTAACCTCCTGATCCACCCACCTAGGACTCCACAAAATGCTGGGTTTAGCAGCTCCAGCCACCGTGCCTGGCTCCCACCACCCACTTTTCTTTTGAGATGGAGTTTTGCACTGTCACTCAGCCTGGGGTGCAGTGGTGTGATTGCAGCTCACTGGAACATCTGCCTCCTGAGTTCAAGCAATTCTTCTGCCTCAACCTCCTGAGTAGCTGGGGTTACAGGTGCCTGCCACCAAGCCCAATTAATTTTTGTAGTTTTAGTGGAGATGAGATTTCACCATGTTGGCCAGGCTGGTCTCAAACTTCTGACCTCAGGTGATCTGTCCACCTTGGCCTCCCAAAGTGTTGGGAATCCAAGTGTGAGCCACCAGGACTGGGCATTTTCTTTCATAATTACAAAAGCATTATGTATTCACTACAGAAAAATCAAGTTAGTAAAAAGATGAAACTAAAAAACAATCCTACTTACTGGAAGTAACCATTATTACTGTGTGGCTTTCTAAAGTTTCTTATAAACATATATTTGTAATATGTGTTAATGGAATTGGGGTTATATCACGCATACTATTTTATCAGGTATTTTTAATAATATATTGTGAATAATATTCTATAGCAAACATAATTCTGTGATAGAATATTTCATAGCTACAGAGCTGGTGACAGTATAATTAAAGTTTACCCAGCCTTCTGGAGTGATGAACTTTGGCTTCCATTTCAGAGGTTTTTTGTTTTTTTTTTCCCCTGTAACAGAAAAATGGTCTCCTTTTGTAACCGAGAGTACTTCCAGACATCATGGGCATCACCAGGCGACATGGTCATTTCTCTCCTTTTTCTTTAGCCAGACTGTGGTAGCTGGGTGAAAGGGCTGTATATCTGTGGCAAAGTTTCTGGTCACAAAATTTTGGCTACATTTATACAATTCTAATTCCAGGTGAAAGGGGAATATAAACTTAATTTTTCTGAAAACTACAAAGAACAGAGACAGATACCAGTGAGTTGCAGACATCACTGTGTAAGCTGAGTGCAGAAATCTGGTAACTGGGCAGGCCTTGTTGGCCAGAGCATGACAGGTCTTCTATGGCCAAAGCCAGCAAGATTTTGACTGCTCAGACTTCATTTTGGGGCTTCTGAGGCATAAAAGGCCTTGGTACAAAGAGCATGTTATCCTTTTCAACTATGACACCCTTTTCAGATATAAGATTCTGAGCTGAAGGAGCGTGAGACTGATCGTGTTAATTCTTGGATTTATTCCTAAGTAACTTTCTCTCTATACAACAAGTCTGAATGGATGACAAAGCAAGAGAGGAGTTTTTGTTTTGTTTTGTTTTTAGAGACAGAGTTTCACTCTTCTTGCCCAGGCTGGAGTGCAATGGTATGATCTTGGCTCACCACAACCTCTGCCTCCCGGGTTCGCTGGGATTACAGGCATGCGCCACCATGCCCAGGTAATTTTGCATTTTTAGTGGAGATGGGGTTTCTCCATGTTGGTCAGGCTGGTCTCCAACTCCCAACCTCAGGTGATCTGCTCACCTCGGCCTCCCAAAGTGCTGGAATTACAGGTGTGAGCCACTGTGCCCAGCCGGAGTTGTTCTTTTTGTTCCAACTCTACTTCTCCTTGAATTTCCTCCCCCATCCCCACTTCACAATGGCTTTGTGTCTACATGATGTTTTTATTTAATTTATTTATTTTTTTGAGACAGAGTCTCACTTTGTCAGCCAGGCTGGAGTGCAGTGATGCAATCTTGGCTCACTGTAACCTCTGCCTCCCAGGTTCAAGCAAGCCTCCTGAGTAGCTGGGATTATAGGCACCTGCCAAGACACCCGGCTAATTTTTGTATTTTTAGTAGAGACAGGGTTTCACCATGTTGGCGAGGCTAATCTCAAACTCCTGACCTTCAGTGATCCACCCACCTTGGCCTCTCAAAGTGTTGGGATTTACAGGCCACTGTGCCCAGCCTACATGATATTTTGATACCCCTATGTTCTGTTTCCAAACACCACTATTTCACTGCAGACATGAGGGACTCCAACTGGTATTAGAGGGTATGTATTTAAAATCTGAGCCCACTTAGAAATTATAATAATAAAAATAACATCTAGCACTTATTGTACGTTAATTCATACTATTTTTGTGTTATTTATTTATTTATTTATTTTTGAGACAGAGTCTTGCTCTGTTGCCAGGCTGGAGTGCAGTGACGAGATCTTGGCTCACTGCAACCTCCACCTCCCAGGTTCAAGCAATTCTCTTGCCTCAGCCTCCTGAATAACTGGGATTACATGAACACACCACCACACCCGGCTAATTTTTTTGTATTTTTAGTAGAGACCGGGTTTCACTGTGTTGGCCAGGCTGGTCTTGAACTCCTTACCTCAGGTGATCCGCCTGCCTTGGCCTCCCAAAGTACTGGGATTACAGACAGGAGCCACTGCACCCCGCCTGGTTTTATTCATTTATAATTTCATTTAATTATCCAAAGAACCTTATTGTTTATTACAATTATTCTCACTTTATAGATGAGAAACCCAAGAGTCAGAAAAGTTAGGTAACTTGCCAAACTTCACACATCTAGACAGTTGCAGAACCAGAATTCAAACCTAGTTCCATCTGCATCCAGAGTCGTTTCCAACACTGCTCTATATTCTGTCTCAGTAAGTTTAGAAGTCAGGAAACTGGAAGGAACAACAAAAAAATAAACCTAACTTAATGCCGATAGAATTGCTGACAAGACACATCTCATTCCTACTCCAGGTTTAATGTCAATTTGTATAACTTGACTAAGAGTGCCTATTATAAAACTATTCGCTCAAGGTTATTCTCCTCCTACCCCGCCCCACCATCAGATGATTTTTATTTATAGCTATGTTTAAACATCGGGCAACACTCAGACTTGCTGTATACTGAATTTGCCATCTAAGCAAAGATTCTTTCTCAAAGCGTATTTGCTTTATTTACTCTCTGGTGTTTGCCAAGAAATTAAAAAGACAATTCTTTTTGGTTTGCTTTAAAATTTTTATTCCAAATATTCTTCAGCTCTAGAATTCACTCAGTGAGGTCAAACAAGTCAAGACCAGATAAGTTAAACTGAATTTTCATTTTCATGTCAATTAGATACTTTGAGTTCTACAAAATTCACGAACATTCTGGATTTCTTCTAAAGAAAAAGATATCCTGATTAGTTCTGTATTGTTTATCATCATACATGCTTTGCTTCACTGTCTGATGCTAAGAGCTTCCTAGGATTCGCCGGGCATGGTGGCTCACACCTGTAATCCCAACACTTTGTGAGGCTGGGGCGGGCAGATCATGAGGTCAGGAGTTTGAGACCAGCCTGGCCAACATAGTGAAGCCCCATCTCTACCAAAAATAAAGAAATTAGCCGAGCATGGTGGTGCACACCTGTAGTCCCAGCTACTTGGGAGGCTGAGGCAGGAGAATCGCTTGAACCCGGGAGGCGAAGGTTGTGGTGAGTGGAGATCATGCCACTGCACTCCAGCCTGGGCAAGAGTGAGACACCGCCTCAAAAAAAAAAAAAAAAAGAGCTTCCTAGAATACATTCCTTAAGAAGTTAAGTCATGGCATTTAATTATTTGACAGGATGTTTTAAGTACATATAATTATATGTTCCCTCTATTTTGTGATGGTGGTGAGCCAAGTAATCTGCATCAAGAGAAAATAAATAACACCTACACTAATGCTACCAACAAGGAGCTCACAGTACTTTGGAAAAACTCATTATAATTTTAGCATATAGTGGGTGTTCCATACTTCATCATTACCAAACTAACATCACCACCACCTTTCCAGGTAAGATAATCTAGCCAAAGAGAAATTATGTTGATTCTGTTCCATATGTCAGATCTTGGAACTGACAACTCAGCATGACTTGACTGAGACCTTGTACTTGGGAGTATGCAGTTTTAAATCCTGACTACCACCTTGGGCAAGTCCCTTCTCTTTCTTGAGTGCCTGTCTGCCTCTTGCCCTATCAGACAGGATCAATTCTCACATAGGTTCATGACAACGGTAAAGAATAAGATTAGACAGCACACTGGGTATGGCTTTATAATCATGGGCACCAAGTGATGATTTTTTCCTCATTCATTCTACTTGGTCTTAACTCATACCCTTCTATTGTTTGGGGATGTTAACTGCAAAACAGGGACAGAATTTGGGCTAAAGAGTCTTTTCCCAGTCTGGTCAATTAAGTATGTGAGAAGACTTTTGGAAGAGTAGATTTGAGGTAGTTTCTTTTGTGCACACTAATGGGAGGTATGAAGGGAAAGCAGAATTACAATTTCCAGCGCAGGAGGCCAAGCCAGTTGGCCTCGCCAAACAGGTTGTCTTGGATAAAGGAGGATTTTCAGTCTTGCTATTGGCTGCTGGGGCCTCCAGTGCCTTCTTCAGCCTGTTGGTAGGGATGATGCCCTCAGAGCTGCAGAGTGAGCACTCTCCTCCAGAGTATCGCTGGGCACTTGGGTGCGGAAGGGTTGGCTGATACTGAGGGTGGGGCGCCTGGAAGACAGGCGACCAGGTTCAGCTCTTGCCTTTCCCTTTATGGCTAAATGTTCTTTGGAAAGCTTCTATATCTGTCAAATTCTGGGGGCATCATGATCTCTCTCTGTCTATCCCAAACCATATTCAGCCAATACTGCTGAGAATACAAGCTCCAGGGCTGGGTGTCATCCGTCTGGATGACCCTCTGGATCTGGCACATAGTTGGCGCTCTATGGAGCCAGATGTGTATGTAAAAGCAGGGACAATGGAATGTGAAAACGTTTCGCAAACTCCAAAGCGATTCATAACCAGACAGAGGTCCAATCCCAGGATATGTAAGCTCTCTTTTAAGCGCGGATCACAGCTGCTTCTAACGCCGTCGGGACGCGGTCAGGACAGGTGCATCCATCTTCTATGGGATTCTCCTCTAGAAAGCAGGCCAGGGAGCGCAGGGGCTGAGGGTCTCATTCCCAGGGGGAATCAAACTTGGAGGAAAGCAACCATCGGCGAGGAGCGGGGCACGTGGAACCAAGCCGCGGTCTTAGGCTCAAAGAAAAGCCCAAACCTCGCCACCGCCGTCGCGCCCGACGAGACACCTAGGTAAGGGGACCGGTGTGTGCCGGGGAAGTCAAGTGCACTGCGCGGCACTCCCACGGTAGGTACACGCTCCTCCACCTACGAGTGACCTAATTACACCAGCCGCGCCCAGAGGTGGGGGTGGTTATTGCAACCAGGCGGCCACTCGCTGCCCGTTCCTGCCCCCAAAGATGCGGGAAACCCACACAATTCCAGCGCTGCTGCACCCCGGAGGAGCCATGGGGTCGCAATTCTCGTTTCCGTGACCGGCCGCCGGGCTCCAGAGGAGGAGCTGTGTTCAACACCAGAACGGCCTTCCCAGGGAAACCAGTTACAGCCAGCCAGTAGCCCCCGCTTCCAGCCGGTCTGCGCCTGCGCGTGGCCCAATCCGTCACCTCTCGGGGCGCAGTGCTAAGGGATTACGCCGGTTCGCCGCTGTGCGCATTGCGCATGCTCCAGCTCCATCCTTCCCTTCCCCCACCACCCGCCCTCCGGGAGCCACGCCCTAAAAGCGAAGGCGACTCAGTTACCAGCCGGCTACGTCGCGCCTGCGCTTTGACCCAAAGTTTGCGCCCCAACTCCGGTAGTGCGGCCGCTGGGGCTGGGCGCCGCAGTTGCGCAGCTCGCTCCCCGTCCTTTTTCCCGTCCGCTCCCCGCCGCCTCCTGACGCCGGCGTGACGTCACCACGCCAGGCGGCCGCCATTACAGAGAGCCGATCTCTGGTGCCTGAGCGAGCGGAGGAGGAGGCGCAGCGGCCTACGGCCGAGTATTGCGGTGAGAGCCAGCGGGCCAGCGCCAGCCTCAGCAGCCGCCAGAAGTACACGAGGAACCGGCGGCGGCGTGTGCGTGTGGCCCGTGTGCGGGCGGCGGCGCGGGAGCAGCGCGGAGCGGCAGCCGGCCGGGGCGGGTGGCATCATGGACGAGAAGGTGTTCACCAAGGAGCTGGACCAGTGGATCGAGCAGCTGAACGAGTGCAAGCAGCTGTCCGAGTCCCAGGTCAAGAGCCTCTGCGAGAAGGTGAGTTGTACTCCGGCTCCAGGCAGCTGCCTTGGGGCCGACCCCGCCGAAGAAAAGGCGGCCGTGAGGAGGGTGCAACATGGCGGAGGCCGCCGGCCCGGGCCCCCCGAGTCGCCGAGACCGGCGCCCAGCCCGGCCGGCGGCGGCTCCCTAGAGACCCGGCGCCCCCTGCCTCCCGCGCAGGGATTGGTTGTCGCCGCCAACGCCGCCTAAAATGGCGCCGTTCACCCGGGTCTTGGGCTTTTGAGCCTCCCTGCCTCGGCGCCAGATTAGGTGGCTGGGGGAGCGGAGACCCTGTGGGTCAGCATCAGGGACGGTTTTGAGGGTGAGCGGGCTTGGATTCTGCGGCCTGGGAATGGGACCTAGACTTCTACGGTGGACTGAGTTAGAGGCTTTCCACTTGTACCCAGGCCTAGTTAGGTCCAAAGCTGCCCAGGGGATCTCCGAAGGCAGTCTTGTTAGGCCATATCCCAGAACATATGTAAAGGTCACACAGCTTTAGTACCCCTGGGTGGTTTGTATTAAACTCACCAAGCGTTCTTCTCCAGAAACCAAGGTGAGGGTGTCTTTAAGAATTTTAAAATTATTCCCTTAACCTAATTTCTACGAAGGTCATGGTAGTTAGAGGAGTGTAACTTATTTTTCATAGTTGGAAGAAATGGGGAATTTGGTGAGTCATAATACATAGGGAGCTTTTGGATTGGAAATCAAGTGTCAGTTGAATTTATGATTTATATGCTGACTCAAAGCCTTCTCTAAGCTTAACACACTTGGCATTTTGCCATTTATTTAAAAAGTCAACATAAAGAAAAAGTCAACATAAAGTGGAAGAGCGGTAAATTTTGTATCTTCTTTGTTGCAAAAGTTACTTGATAGAATTTTGTGGCTCCACGTAGTAGTAGTAATAACTGTCGACTAAGATTGTATTCCAGATATTGTGCTTAGTGTTTAAGTAATGTCTCACATACATTGAAAATAGAATGTTGTAGTCCACTTAATAACACTAAATTTTATATTTTTTAATAGCTAATTCTGTTTTGTTTTCCCCTGGGGTTGGGGAAACCGGTAGCCAATTTAGCTATTAGCTGTATGTCGTATTTTTAAATTCTTGTAACTCAGTTTTCTAAAGTAGACAAAAATGCTGATCTCTGCTGTGAACACTAACTTCTCTTTTCAAAAATAACTTTGCAATATGTCACGTTAGTACAGAATAGTGGAGTATCATACTAGCATTTTGTATTAGTGAAAAGAATTAATGGAGAACTATTATCCTGATTTGTTTGTGGTGTGATGTGAAAATTAGGTTCATGAGTTTGGTGTATATGTTTCCATGTTTTAGAAGCCATGTTGTGAACAATTGGAATGTAAGTACATCGGATTTAGATTTATTTCTCCCAAGCATGAACAAAACTACTACTAGTTGATGAAGTAGCACATCATCTTGGAGATAGATTTTAATGGTAGCAAGGTATTGAATCTCCTGTTTCTTTACCAACCTCACATCAAATGAGGTTGGTATTTATTTTAAAGGTTTAAAATTGGCCTGAGATTATACAATCAATTCCATTTTAAATTAGTAGTGTGTTTAATATTGAACACCTATTGAATCTCCAAGATTGCATTCTCTTTTGAGCGGAATGAAAATAAATGAAGAGTAAGTAAGTGCTTATTGTCGAGGAGCTATGAATCTAGTTGGAAGGAAAAGCATGGTATGAAAATGTGTGGGAGTTAGAGCATGGAAGTAGAGGGTTTGTGTTGGAAACTGGAAGATAATAATACTGGATGCTAAAGTGGGGTGGGTGAAGCTAATGCATCCATTATTACTTTCCACATCTTTGGAAAACTAAGATATAGTGAAGTAAATCTCCATTTCTTGCTCAGCTTATGCAAATTTTAGTTCTGAGTGCCTAAAAGTTGGAAATAATATTTGAGAGTAGGTGTTAGATAAAAGTTTCTGTGGAATGGATCCTTTTTGTTGGATATCATACAGCCTTTATACTGTTTATAACTTGTAATTATTTCAACTTTCAGGAGTTAATCTAAACTTAACTAATTTGAAGACAGGTTTTCGGGTATGTGGAATCCGTGAAGTGTTATTTTTTGTTCAAGTCTTTCTAGTAAAACAAAAGCTGTCTTTCACTGTTAATATTTGTGTGCCAGTGGCATCTCTGGATGAAAGGTACATACATGCTTTTTGGTGTGATTGCCTTCTAAAGAGTAATTTTGAAAATATTGAGGGCTAATTTTTTTCATTAGTATATAATAGTAATATTTTGGGGGGAAAAATAGTTGTTTGAGAATAGTTGGCAATTTCTTCAGTTACAAGAAGGAATGATAATGTAAAAGCCTTCTACCCACCTAAAGATGCCTGATTTAAATGAAATACTTTAATAGTAAAGGTAGATGTATACTATAAGAAGTAGAAGTCATTGTTACTAAAAAAAATCCTGAGGCCATTATTTTGTTATCCCATCAACAATTAGTGTTACATGTTCAAACCCAGAGAATCTAAGTATACATTTATAGACAAAGGCGAACATGGTTATAATATTCACTAGCTAAAAGTAATCTTAAGATGTGATTAAGGTTTATATAAAAGCCAAGGCTGTTAGTGTATACAGTAGTAGACTTTGTCATCTTGAGGATCATAATTTGTTGATAGTTTAATCATTTGGTGTGCAGTTTTGTCTCAGGCTCACTTCTATAGTCAGCATTACATTTGTATAACTGGCCTGGTATGTTTCAATCTACAGATTGAAAGGAGTAAGTAGTATCAACTTGTTTTGGCATTGACTATAGTGAACAATCTTTTATTATGTGACTTCAGCTTTGGTTTAGCTTGGGTATGATTCTTGGCTTTGTGCTTAACAAACATGTGGAGAATGTTGTTTGATAGCCAGATTTTTTTTTTTTTTTCAAAGTTCTTTACCTAGGTATGCTGTTTTCCACTGCTCTGTAAGCACTATAAATAAAATGCTGTCGTTAGTCATTAAAATGCTAGTTTTAACATTCGTTACGTGAGTATGGAAAAAGCAAGCTGCTTGCTTCTAATTAGATAAGCTGAAAGGTACTTGACCAAGGTGACATTCTTTTTTTTTTTTTTTTTTTTTTTT